TTTCTACCTGAAGAGGCAATGTGCATGTAAAACCTCTGACCAATTTCTGGTTATGGGGGGATTAGAAGTTAAAAAGTAAAATAAAATATTTCTGGAACTGGACGAGGACAAATTCCAGCAATAGACCCCAAATCATGCCCAGTTAGCACATACCCAGATACAGTCAGCTCTCCCAAGGGCAAGAGATGTTATCTCTGGCAAGAAAGGCACAAATCAGGTCAGTACAGCATGCAGTGATGAGTTGTTTCCAGCTACTGTATTTTCTTCTGCAGTAATGTACTCACTACTGTGAATGCGGTCTTGTTGAATTTGCGCCAAGCTAACCACCCATGCCCCATTCTCTCCTTGTGCTCACACTGAATGCTACATTATGTGAGTTGAGAGATGCAATAGATAGATAGATACTGAACTCCTTTATGATACAGTGCGGTATCTACTTAATGCCCACATCATTTGTGTGCTGAATCTTCTCTTTGTACCCTTCCCCATCCTTACTTACCTGTGCAGACCCAGAGAGCATTTAACCTCTCTGTTTAATTTGAAAAATAAAAGAGGATTCCATGATATTGTAAAACATGTCTTGGAACATGTACAGTACTGGAACATAGCTATCAGGATTATGCTGTTCATATGTATATTTTGAATGTACAAAATACTAATGTTCAACATGAAACAGAAGCATCCTACATTAGCTATTGAAAGCTAAAGAATCTGCATTCAGATGTCAATCATTTTATCTAGACTATCATTCTTGCTAAACTTCTTTTTAAAAAAGACTGTTTGTGCATCCAGCAAGTTACATTTTGGGGTCACAGGGGAGGTATACAAATAACAGCCCAAACCCAAGGTCCTTTCTCAATAAAACTATATTTTAAGTCTTCAGCCATTCAGATACCTGGTGACTGACATGGTATACATGACTTGATGGATAGACAGATTTCAGTGTGAACTTTGCCTGAATAAAGACCACAGGATCTGGCTCTGTACAGAGACATAAACGCCCAGCACTGACAAGAAGGGAGTTAATGAAGCCTTTAGAGCCAATTAGCCCCAACTTGCTACACCTGTAGCAGATGTCAGCTGTGGAGAGGGGGCATTAAAAGGAGATGGCCTAGCACAGTTCAGGTTTGACTAGGAAGAAGAGCAGAGCACTTTCATCAGGGGCAGCTCTATGTATTTTGCCACCCCAAGCATGGCAGTCAGGCAGCCTTTGGCGGCACGCCGGTGGGAGGCCCGCTGATAACGCGGATTCGGAGGCATGCCTGTGGGAGGTCTGCTGGACCCGCACCTTTGGCGTACCCGCTGCCGAATTGCTGCCGAAGCCACGGGACTGGCAGCCCTCACAGTTACCAGCAGGCCGCCCCCCGCGGCTTGCCGCCCCAGGCACGCGCTTGGTGCGTTGGTGCCTGGAGCTGCCCCTGGCTTTCATTCTCTCTCTGGTATAGTTAGTGTCTGAACCAGCTTACTGTCTAGATGAGCACTGATAGAGGGAGGGACTGACCAAAGGAGTGGCTGTCAGACCACAGGACCTAGGTAGAAGGGCAGGATCCTGCTGAAGACTCATTGGATGACACTTTTGAGTTCTTAGCTTTTTTAATTTGGGGGCTTTGATACCCTGGAAGGGGTGGGACTCAAGTGTGCCTTAGCCAGAGACCTATTACCCTCCCGACCCCTGTCCCAATTTTTCACACTTGCTGTCTGGTCACCCTAGCCAGAGACCTAAAGCACAACTGCATTGTACCCTCCAAGAGGTGGTGACTGTAGAGACCCTGTTACAGTAAGTAGTGCCATATTGGGCCACAAGGGGGAATCATGCAGGTGGGCTTTGTCACAGGCTCAAAAACTACAGGGGCACTATTTACAATCATGCGTATAATAGCTATGCCTATCATTTTACATCTTCTGGGAGGCATCTACTTAAGGCTGAGGCTGGTGCCCAACAGGACTTAGGACTTTTTCCACAATTCATTTTCCACAGAAAAGCAATGAATAAGGACAATGTTCATACTACCTAACTTGTTTTGGGTCAGTGGGCTACACAAATAAATAATAAAACAGTGTAGTACTGCAATATTGCATTTCAGTCAAGGTCTATGGCCCCATTGTGCTATGCAAGGTACAAATGCAGAATAAAGCTGTGCCCTGGGCCACTGCCAGCATTTTAAGCAAAGAAGCACTAATAATAGTTTTAATGTTTCTTATATTTCATGTGGCCTAATAACACATGATGAGATTCTGCAGTTTCTTCTATAACTTCAAGCAATAACATGAATACTGCAGTTTAACTATTTACATGTAGAAGCAAAATATTAAAGATTTTAACAATGATCACTGTATCAGGGTTTAGTCCTGCCACAATTAATTCCCAGAGTGATTTGGCATGTTAGAAATACATTTACCAGTTCTATTTTTGTAAAAGGTAATGGACTGGATTCAGCTTGTTTACACCATAGAAACCTGATATAATTCCACTGAACTCAAGGCCAATACACCGGTGTAAAGTCAGAGTATGTGACAGGAAAGTCAGCCCCCTGTTGTAGTGCAATTTACTTGGTAGTGCACTGTAATTTCACCTATAAAAACTACACTTCAGTGGATTCCTTTCTACTAATGTGTACTACATAAACCAAATGAAATTCAGTAGGAACTGTGCCCCAAATTTCAGCGGCATTTAGGTCCTGAATTTCTATTGACGTCAATGGAGTTAAGTGCCTAAATACCTCTGAGGATCTCTGCGTAGGTGTCTATCTCCATTTGAAAATTTCAGCCATAAAATGTATCTACCTGAGGTGAAGAAGGGAACCTTAAAAGGATTCATCAATGCCATCAGATTGGTAATGAGCTGGGTTAATGTGAATAGGTGCCCTAGAACTTGATGGGCCAAACATGTAAACCTTTGAGCCAAATCCAACTGTGGTGTAACTTCAGAGATAAATGGGCCAAACACTGCTCTCAGTTACACTGGGTTCCATGGCCTGGCGTACCCTGCAAAAAAAAGCTTTCAGAAATGTTTCACCACTGCTGATAGCAGTTCTGTTCCACAAGTGTTAGCGATGTTGGGAGTCCTAGCAAGGATAGATGGGCTGCCACCAGCATGTTAAGCATTGTCATGTTACTTAGAAATACAGTAAAAGGAGCAAAAATAATAAAATATTTTCCTCCAGTCCCCCTCTGCAAGCATAATGGAGGGTGCAGGTATAGGATAGGGAGATCACTGTCTATGAGTACCAATATGGAGAACAAATGTGGGCTCTTCAATCTAGCAGAGCAGTATAACACAATCCAATGACTGGAAGCTGAAGCTAGACAAATTCAGACTGAAAATAAAGTGTAAACTTTTAACAGAGAGAGTAATTAACTATTGGAACAATTTACCAAGGGCTGTGGTAGATTCTCCATCACTGACACTTTTAAAATCAAGATTGGATGTGTTTTCTAAAAGATCTGCTCTAGGGATTTTTTGTGTTTGTGGAAACTGTGGGTTGTGTTATACAGGAGGTCAGACTAGATGATCACAGTGGTCCCTTTTAGCCTTGGAATCTATGAATCTATACATGTTGTGCTAATGGCTGGCTTTTGGCAGGTTTATCTACTGCCAGTCTACAGCAGGGACTGACACACTCTCAAGGCTCTGATTGGGTTGGTGAGAACATCTGATAGTTCAGGATGTGTCAATGGGTCATCACCCCTCCCCCCCACTTCACCCCCCCCCCCAGTGTTCCTAGAGTCAGAGGGTGGCCTCTGCTCCAGCCGGGGCTCCATATACTACTATTTGTGGCATCTTCTAGGCCAGGGACTGCAGCCCACCTAACCCCCATTTGTCACTGCTGGGTTGGGGGTCCTCCTGTCTGCTCTTCCTCCCATGAAGATTGAGCCTTCCTTGTTGCCTGGGGCAAGCAGTCAGCATATGCCCCCTAATGTAAACAGTCAAATCCAGTTATGACCTCAAGTTATGATCCCAGAAGCTGGGAATGGGCAACAGGGGTTGGATCACTTGGTGATTACCTGTTATGTTCATTGCCTCTGGGGTACCTGGTATTGGCCACTGTTGGAAGACAGGATATTGGGCAAGGTGGACCTTTGGTCTTACCCAGTATGGTCATTCTTATGTAAGTTAACCAACGTCTTCTCTGTTTAAGAAAGGGAGGAGAGAGCCAAATGAAAATACAAGAAAGCTTTTGCTATGATTCATACATCACCTCTGCTTAGGGGATCTGAGCTACTAGGAGCTGGGACAGCAGATGTTATAAAAGTGAAAGGCTGGTAACTGACCTTGTGCTGTTAGCAGAATCCCAGTTCCTAGTTGCTTGGTGGAGCTGCCAGCCTCTTTACTGTTCACCCGAAAGCGTCTTGCTCCCAGGAAGGTTTAGTTTTACCTTCTCAAACCAAGCTCTGTCTTTTATTCAAAGATCACTTTGTGGTCATATTGGGGCTTGGACCAGCCCTTTGCTCTGGATGGGCTAAGGAGGGTGCTATAGACTGCACATGAGGAATCCATAGCCTTTTTTTTCAGACTGACTTTCACAAGTGTGATGATAAACTGAACACGCTGACTTCAAACAAAGGCATCTGTGATATGAGCAAAGCTTTTGAGGCAAGCCATCTCCTTCAATGGAGAGAAATGGCAAAATCTGGAGAGATGAGGTACATGGGGAAGCAGGGGGTAATCAAATGCCCCCTTCCCCCCCCACATACAGAGAAAAGGGTTTGTTTAAAGGAGTGGGTGAAAGGTCCCAGCATTACTGACCCCAAGCATTCATAAATCAGCAGTCAGGGCCCCAAAATTATGATTTCAAAAAATAAGTTTTGGGGTTTTTATTGCTTTCTGTCCTTTCAGCTTTTAGGAAGCTTTTTCCTTTCATGTGTCAAGCATTTCTCCACAACCATGAAAGCTAGAAACTTTTTTTAAAGTGAAAATTGAGGTTTTTCATGTAATCCTATTACTCCAGAAGCAGGGGCTCTTACTAAAACACATACCATGAGAATCCAGATAAAATGAGATTTGGCAACGTCGCTGCATGTCTATTATACCTATGTGGCCATTTCCTTTTAATTCTTGGCTCAGATTCTAGACTGACTTATTGCAGCATGCTGTGAATGAGTGTCCCTCTGGTTCCACCAGTGGGTCTGTTTATGCCTGCTACCATTGTGACAGATTAAAATCCAAAGGAGTGTTGCTACCTGCTGTCTGGTGCTTATGCCCTATTTCTTCTCCGTACTCACTCTTCATCCTTAAAGTGGTCTAAAAGACTTCCTTTCTTTCCCCTTCCTCTTTAGCAGGGAGGCTCTCAGTTCACCCCAAAGTAGCCTAGAAGGGGTTAATGAGGCTGAGAAGAGGCCAATTAACCAGATAGGCCACAGCTAAGAGGAATTAGATGGCCTAAGTATTCCCCTGAATGACGAAGGAGCCTCGCTGAGAAGGACCAGGGGGGGCTAGGATAAAGCCAGGAAGCTGGCAGCAGAAAGGGGTTGTGGTGAGGGAGCCTGTAGTTACTCTCTGGACACTAGAGAGAGGGGAGGAAGAAAGGAAACCTAGGGGGAGAGGGTGTAGGAAAAGGCTCAGGGAAATGGTGGCAAGGTTTAAGATGGTGCAGACCTTGGCTACTGCTTAGAGGATCCCAGAGTTGGAACCTGGAGTAGAGGGCAGGCTTGGGTTCCCCTACCAGTCATTAGGGAAGTGGCACTGTTTGGGGCAGTGAATGGGAAGACTGCCTGAGACAGTTTGTATGGAAAGACTCTGATACTCTGGAAGGGGGAAAGCACATAGTGACTTGGCCAGAGGGCCAAGTTCAGTGCTCTCCCTTTGTGGAGTTGCACAGTGTGAGAGAGACACAAAGGTGGCAGGGCACGCAGTGAGCAGCAAAAAGGGGTGTTGGACCTGGGAGGAGCTAATCCCCAGAGCATCCAGGAGGAGGTGCCCTAATGGAGAGAGGACCCTGTGACTCCCAATATCAGAGAATGGGAAAAAATCAGGAAAGAGAAGCGATGGTGAGGATGGAGACCAAGAGATGCAGATAACTTATCCTTGTAAGTTGCGGAGACTTTTCTGACACACAGTTTCAGTGCTTGGCACGGAGTCTCCTTCCCACTCTCAGCTCTCCTCTTTTGCACTCCCATTTTATGCATGACTCTTGACTCTCCCTCCCAGCTGCAGGCTAGAACAGCAGCAGCGTGGAGGAAAGGTGCAGAGTCCATAGGGGGATAGGTCTAAGAGACACCACACATGGGCTTGTTCCATAGCATTGGCAGTGAAGGAGAGGAACAAGGGTTTTAACTCCCTGGCAGTTTCAGCAGGACATCAGTCCCACCACACCATACCAGTGCTGTCACAGTTATTCAGATTGAGTAGTACTTTATTCTTCCAGCTCTATGCTTCCTTTATCAAAGCCTCCATAGCAGATGATGGGGGGAGGGTATTGGGGCAGAAGCTAGTGTGGCTTGAGTATTCTTCATCTTAACTTCTTGCTTCCACAAGCCCCATAGGGGCTATGGTTGTGAGGGGCCTGTGTCAAGGGTCAAACCAACTCCTGTCAGCCCCTGAATAAGGGAGGCACACACTAACTCCCCTCAGTCTCTGTGAAGCCCTAGCACCACTGCAGGGGTGAAAATTAGCTCCAGTCTCCCTCTCTAGTGTAGACAGCTTCATGCAATACAATGGTACATTCCTACTTAGAGATCATATTAATGTGGCAATGCCTGCTTCTGGTCCTTGTTGTTCAGCTTCTGGAGCTGTTGGCTGAAACAGCTGCTTTGTTTTTGTCTGATTAAAACTCCAAATGGATCTAGCTAGATTATTAGAGTTCCCCACCACACTCTAAAGTAACCTATTGTGTGTAACATGCCCATCACTATGGCCCTGATCCAGAAAACATCTTTAAGTGTTGTCCTGAATAGGGACACGCTGAAGCACATGTAGAGCTTTTCTGAATTAGGAACTATCCTGGACACTTACATTGCTCAAGCCTCTGTTTTACTCAGTGAACTAATGGGTAGCACCTGATGACAATTCTGGAATCATTAGCCAAAGCTCTTCTCAGCTGGAAGTTGCTTTCACCCACATCTCTGTGCTGGTTTAATATAAGGTGCCAACCCCCTGCACTTTGTGTAGGCATTTATATCTGTGTAAATACCTGCACAAGGTACAGGGCAGAGGAGATTCAAGGCCACAGTCTAGTATCAGCATTTATAATGTACAAACATGTTGACTGTTCAACTGCAGAATAAGGTGCTTGATCCATGCACAGCTACTCACTATTAGAAAAGAGTATGTTTCTCATTTGAAGTTCATAAAAGCCTGCTTAATGTAAAGAATTATTAACTCTTGGCAGAAAATAACTGAGGGAGCATTTTTCTTGCACAATTTTCCAGTTCACTTTGCCAATACAGAAAAAGGTAGGTCAGTGCTTTCCTTTGCCTCTGACTGTGTGCATAACTTGGGGGCAAAACTCGTAAGCTCTCTGTCTTATCTGTAAAATGGAGATTTTTTTTATCAGTTAGGAAAAGCGGTAAATTATTGCACAAATACTAAATATTTTAAACTTTATTACTAACAGAGAAATTTTATGGATACAAGCAGTTATTGGTCTTGTCAAAAATCTCTCCCATTAAAGATATTTGGAAAATTATTTTTAGACATATCTAGGTAAAACACTGAAAAGAATGAGCATTTCACTTGAATATATAAAATCCTTGCCTTGTCTATGATGAGCTTATATTGTATTTTGAAAAAAATCTGGGTAGATCAGGAGTTGGCTGCTGCCATCTAGTGATGCAATATGTTAACATGATTTTCTAAATTCAGTGCCTTGCATGGTGACAGGTTTCAGAGTGGTAAGCCGTGTTAGTCTGTATCAGCAAAACACAACGAGGAGTTCTTGTGGCACCTTAGAGACTAATAAATTTATTTGGGCATAAGCTTTCGTGGGCTAGAACTAGTCTCTAAGTTGCCACAAGGACTCCTGATTGTTTTAAAAAATTAGTTAGAAAATCATCAAAAAAACCCAACAAAGTTGCTACAGATGAGCTGTGTGCATAACCATGATTATATAAAAAACTGGATCAGAGCCTCCGACAGGGTAAATCACCATGGCTACAGAACTCTGTCTTGATAGCTCTCTAAGACAATTGTATCCAAACATATCAGTTTATGATAAATTTGTATGATCACCTGTTGGACTTCTTTCCTTTTTCCAAGAGCTTTCTCACAAATGACTCCTGACAGGTTCATCTCTAAAGTTATCTATAATAATCCTATTATTGTCCTCTTATAAACAAAAAACTATTTTGAGACATCATACTCTAGTAGTGAGGGCAAACAGTTGAGAAACAGGAGAATAGTTAGTCACTGAATAGAACCCAGATTCTCCTCCTTTTGCTCTTGTCACTAATCTTTGGTGTCTACTGGGAATTAAAAAATAAGGAGCTGGCTTTCTCATTTGAGCTAGTGATTCAAGACACTTGCACACCGGCGGTGAGGGACCAGCTTGGCCTACATAAACATGGTGTATGACCCTTCAGCTGGCCAAGCAAAATGAGGTCCTACACTCATCTTGCTAGCGTTTGTTTAAAATCTGTGGCAAAGCTCCCATTGACTCTAATGATGCAGCAGCAGGGTCTGAATTAGAGACCTAGATGCATCAGCGTGGGTAAGGTGGAGTTAAAAAAGAGAAAGGAGAAAAAAACTACAGATGTGGAAGTTGAGGGAGAGACACCTTGGCATGTGCTGGATTAAGAATGGGAGAGAGACCCTAGATGGGGCTGGGGAGAGGGGAATGTGGAGAAGCTATAGGCAGATATTTTCATAATTAACAAATATTCAAATGCAAATTGACTTTGTTTTTAATATTCCTAACCATCCCTTCTGCTCCTGCCTGTGTTGGCAACCCAATGTGGGAAAGTTGGGTAGGAAAGTTTAGATTTGCTTGGACAAGTATAACTTGCTCAACTAGCACTTTATTAAACATACCCAGCCTACCCAACCCACAAGGAAAAAGTACAAAATACATCAGGTGAGATACTGTAATGAACTCCTCCTGCTCAACTGGTAGGATCACAAGCAGTGAAAGCTACTCCCCTATGAAGGGAGAGGAAATGAAGTTACATAAATAACTGATGATTGGACTAGATTAAAAGAAAATACATCTTTGGCTCTCCCATCTGTTACACATGGGAGGCAGGAGGAGGCTGTAAAGATTGTATTTAAATAATTTGCTTACCTTGAAACTTTCACTTGCTTCTGTTAAGCACTGAAATCAAGGACATCAAAATATTGCAGCAGAACAGCAAGACTGAGAACTGCTGTTTAAGGAAGTGGTAACAGCTCCCAGTACAAATTTCAAACAGGTACCCCTACTGACCAGCTGAGCAACAGGGGGAGGGATAGCTTAGTGGTTTGAGCATTGGCCTCCTAAACCCAGGGTTAAGAGTTTAATCCTTGAGGGGGCCATGTAGGGAACTGGGGTAAAAATCTGTCAGGGGATTGGTCCTGCTTTGAGCAGGGGGGTTGGATTAGATGACTTCCAACCCTGCTATTCTATGATTCTAATAGCCACTCCCAGATATGAAGTGGTCAAGGGGAGTTCCAGGTTTGCATTTGGACAATGGCAATTTGGCAGATATCGTGTTTCAGCAGTGAGATTGGTTAAAAGACTCAAAACATTTTTTTG